TGATCTTCTTGCTCGAGTGGATGCCAGTCTCTTTGTGTCGTTGCTAGCCTGTGGACCTGCAATGGGCTTGATTGACATCCAGCCCATCGAGACCACGAAGTGGTTCCCGAACAGGAAGGATAACTTAACAGTGCAGAAACGATAGAGTACAAAGTGAGACTTACCTGGTCGAACGCCGGTTTCAATTTCCCGGCATCTGCGCCTATTGTGAGACGGAAAAACTCTGGTGCAGGGTGTGAGCTTGGCATGCTGTGTGAGATTCAGTCTTAGTGTACATGTGAGTGAACCTGACTCAGGCCTACGCGAACGACCATGTCCGAGTCGAGAGCGAGATGGTGATCATGTGTCTTACAATGAAAACATTTGGTTTCTTCACGTTCGCGTCGACAGCTCCTCGCATCGCTCAAAGCGATCGTTTCGTTTCTCACCTCCTCTTCGAACATATCTTCTTATTTCGGCCGGCGTCGGCATCCAAATAATATTGCCTCGCTTAGATTCATGCCCAGCCACACATGTGGGGTTCTCCGGTCCTTTATGTAATTTGAAGCGACTCATTGCATGTGATGTGGAGATCGTGTGAAATGTTGAATGGTCAGCAATGGTTTTCTTGGATTCGCTGGTCAATGTTTCCACTGACATTGAAATTGCAAATGGTGGAATGTCAATGCAAACTGCAGCTGAGCTATTGTCTTTGGAATGCAGGAGTGATCTTGGCATCCATGTTACTGTGACACTTGTGGATTGCTGGCCTGAATGTTTCCTCTGATTGCAAATGAGATTGACCCCGCTTTCGCTTGTTCCGTACAGCGCGGGATTGTAGATTGTGAACGCATGAAGTGTGTTGCACACATGAAGGATTGAGCTACTGCGTCCGCAAGTTGTCTGTGAGTTGATTGATTTGGATGTTGTTGAAGTTTTGAATGATTTTTTGAGATGGATTGTCAACATTACGAATGAAGAATGCTGACGTGTGACTCATGACTGAAGGGGTGATTCAAGGGACTGTGTTAGAGGTCACTGTTCCCACCGTGACTTGGGCTGTATGCCACATTATGAGCATATTGAATGACACCAAATGGTGTTTGGCTCAAGACTGGCTTGCTGTCACTGAGTGCACAAAATATAGATCAGACTTGTTGTAACGTGTGGAGGCTGAGTGATTGATCAGACCGTGTTGTGGATAGGTTGATTGTATAGATTGTGTATGTTTTGATTTTAGTGCTGGTGGTGGTGGTCTTGGTGGTGGTGGTAGTAGTAGTAGTAGTAGTGGTAGTAGTAGGAGTAGTAGTAGTAGTGGTAGTAATATTTTTCATTCATTCTGGACGCAGTGGTCTATGTCCGCCTTGCGAGCTTGCGTGTGAAAGGCAGTCCTCTTGCCGGACTGGCATTTTTAAGACGCAATTATTAGTAGTAATTCCATTATGCCCACTTGTTTTTTCGCATGAAGATATGGATGAGTGTCGGCAAATAATGTAGACAGTAGGACAATTCCGAGTAGGCCTCGTGTCTGAAGGTAGTAGTAGTAGTATAGTAGCAGTAGTAGTAGTAGTAGTAGCAGCAGCAGTAGTAGTAATAATCGTAATAATAATGAAAATACTAGAATTACTAATGATCAAGAACGTGCGCGTCGCATTATATGCATTCTACCTTGCCACCACCACCACCCCCCGTTCCCCTCACGCTGCCGAAAACTTACTGCCCAAGAAGAGTTTCTTGCCGAGAAGTCTAAATCGAAGCTGGTTTCTCGTATCAAGTTCGGCGTGCATGCCGCAACAAGCGTCGATGGTACCCACAACTGCGTGTTCGGCTTGGGACGTGTTTTCTCGTTCACCGAGCACGGAGACTTCCGATTGCCATTCTTTCCCGACGTCAAGTCACGTTCGGCTATGTAACTCGGCAGAACCATGACCTATCGTCAAGGAACAAGCGGAAAAGGGTCTTCCCGGTGCTCACGCATACCCACGGACTTTGGCTGGCACTGGTCGGTTCGAGCTTCGTGACCTTTTGTGGTTGCCCGCCTGACGTTGACTGGTCTCCTCACCTCCGTCGTTTTCATTTTAGCTGCATATGCTCCCTGCCGGTAAATTCCTTGCGCCGGATCCAAGTTTTCTTCTGGTTTGTCTTAGGCCCGGCAGCATTCAGTTCTGGGCTTTTGCTTTCGTTGCACAAGTTTCAAGCCCCTTGACTCCCAGCGCTGAAGCGGCTAGCCGCCATCATGGTCAGAGCAATGCTAAACGCCACACCATACCCGCCAGCACCACATACGCATTCCGTGCAACGCTCCCCACGCCACGTCACCCCATGATGCCGCATGCAGTTTGTAAGCTTCACAGCTAGCACCAACTGCCCCTTCGCACTCATACTGGTTGACGCCTCGATCAGCTCCGACATTCTGCACGGTGTGTGCCGCGCTGTTGGGTTTCAACCGCTGTCCTGCGTCTGACGTGCTGCCTCGAGTGTCGCACTGCATCTGGTCTTCGCCTTGACCTTCCACAAACTCAAACTCCCAAGGAACAGTGTCGGTTACTTCACGTTGTTTGTGCGGGGAAGATGACCCAACAGATTGACTGGAGGAACGGCGCAGCGGGGCGGTCAGTTGGCAGGTCTATGGAGCGTCAGGGCCCCGGCCGCTCTGCAACATTTGGCGTAACATGCACGCTGCAGGTACGCGAAGGCCTGCGGAGGCCTTCCTTCAGTGGGATTCGACCTTAGCCTCAGATGGTTTTGCCAACGCTGCCAATTGGGTGGTACCCGAGGAACCTTCCTCTTGGCTGTGGCCATCTCTGAGGCATTGTCAATGCTGCATGACAGTTTTGTTCTGCCAGATTGGTCGCAGGGATCAAGGAACTTCAGCGACGGATGGCTGGCACATTGGAGTGGCACACCGGGCGGAGGCACCGCCAGTGGGCTCGGGATCTATGCTCTTGCAGCGTTCATATGCCTGGCTCCTTGTGCGCAACTGGCATGATGGGTTCCCTCAAAAGTCTTGACAAAGCGCAAGCGGTGGCTCCAAGGTTACAGGCATTGCATACTCCACATGTCGTGTCCTCGTTGGCCAGCGCGGGTCGGTGGCCCCAGCGGACCTAGCGGACTTAGCTTGATGTAGCCTGGTTCGCCATTTTGAGAGCATTGTTGAGCAGTTCCAAGAGGGGAGTTCGTCCTTTGGTGGATGTTGTGAAGTGTTTCTTGGCCTAGGTCGCGGGTCTTGCACGAGCGATGCTTGCATGCACTGTTGAGAGCACAAATGCTGGCGGCCCAGATTGGCGTAGCTTTCTGGACAAGCCATTGCAAGCCAAATTTGGCTAAGCATGGCAGTTATTTGCCATCTCCCAAAGTCAAAATATCCAAGCTAACCAGTAACTGCATGCTCGAGTATTGTAGGAGTTAGCAGGAGACGTTGCACCATATTGCATCACAGGTGCATGTTGCATGTGGGCATGTTGAGCGAATGCCACAGGATGGCCGGGACACCAATTCAAGGGACCCTCTGAGACTCTGCCTCTTGCTGTTTCTCACAGACAGCTAGCTGGGTTTTCCAAAAGGTCCTTCTTCGACCTGACGCCCAACGGTCAGATTCTGAACCGCCTAGCTGAGGAAGCCTTGTGCATCTGTTTGCTGTTGCAAAAGTTAAGACTGCAGAGAGGACACCAACATCTTGGACTACAACTTGCCACAGACGCGCCTCTGCCGCACCCGTGTCATGTCGCATCGTCCTTGCAGTGCCGAATTGCCATCTGGGCGCAGTTGTTTCACACCTTGCTTCAAATTTGACGACAGGATGTCCGCTAACATCATTTGGCTACTCGGCGGCAAAGCTTGCAAACAAGCGGTAGCTTCGGGCTGCTGAACTCTTCACTTTTGCTAGCCAAGACCGAGGGCCCTGTGAACAACCCTCGGCACGGCAGCAGTAGCTGCATGCATATCTGCCAGGTTTTGGCGGGCAGCTTCCATCGTGGTGGCCCATGTCTTAAAACACCGGCGCATTGTGCAAATCATGCGTGTTTCGCGCGCGCACCACCAAAAATACCGAATTTCAGAGCAACCTGGCCTGCACCCACCGTAAAGCTCGACAAAATATCTCCAAGGGGCCATCCGAAGTGCCTCGCATTCCCAGGTTCAGGTACAGTAGGTTACAAAAAGGACGGACTGGCCTGGCAGACTACACAGGCAGCTTCATGGCCATGCAATTTTGAGATCCAAGCAGGGGACCAAGTATTTGAGCGCTCGAATAGTGACTTTAGGATGTGAGTTCCCATTTTCATTGTAATTACGGAACTACAAGAAATCAAAAGGGCTGAAAATTACTTGAATCTTTTTTGACTTTCAGATTTGGTTGGGGTCAGGGAGAGGGCCCGTATAGTTTGCCCGTGATCTTGCGCTTCGTAATTGTTTTTGGGTGCCTTGGGGGTTTATATAAATCAGGAAACACACCCTGCCTGCGTATTCACCCTCTGTTATGTTGTGTTCGGAAGGGAAATACAATCATATTCCTTGGGGTGGCGTCGTTATCATGCCTGTTTAGAATACTACCCAGACATAAAGCCCTAAACCCAGATGTTCTTCCACAGTATCCTGTACCTACAGGACCATGGGTACACCCCCCTTAGTAGTAGGCATAACCTCCAAAGAGTTCAACTCCAAAGATTTCGGGGATCTCTTTGTTTTTATGCTTTCTAATGGGCTTTGCCCAACGAACGTAGTCTCAACAAATTCGTTTTTTTTAGGAGAAAGAAATGAAACTAAATATAACTGAATCAAAGAGTTCCTTTCTACTTCGAATGTTACTGGGTTTGAGGGGGCCGAGCGAACTGTTTCAGCAAGGCCGTGTGCCTGTCTGGAGGGGCCGTGGAGCGGTGAAACCGAAGGTCACGATCGTTTGCGAAAATTTGCGAGTTTTAAGCCAATGAGTTGTCTTTTAATCGACGAATCTCTTTCGAAATTGTACTTATACTGAGTTCTACTCGTTTTTTTCTTTTTGAACGTGGCATTCTCATTCCCCTCTTGGAGCTGCTCGCTGTGTGCTTGTAAATGTGAAAGTTGGGCACCCGAGCGTGTAACCCGTGTGTCCGTGTTGCCATTGTCTCACTTATCTCCTAGACGTACGCTGAGTCACTTCTAATTTTTGCAAGCGAGAAAAAATGGGCGCCCCTCGTTACTCAGCATGTTTGTTTGCACAGAGCACTTGGCAAGCTTTAGTGTCAGTTGGCACCGGAGCCTATGTCCGCCGACGGCCCAGGGTCGACGCGACTCTCCGAGTTCCTGGCTTCCGGCGAAGAATCGGATGCACCTCCGCTTTCTCCTGGACTTGACATTGGCGAAGGCGATCTTGATCCAGAGCAACAGTTTGTGAATGAGCCCATGGCGATGCCTTGGGTGCGAAGGACAGTCCTACGGAGCTACCGTGAAGTGGTTCGACAAGCTTCTACGACTGCACCGCGCCAACCAGGCGCGAAGCTGAGCGAGGCACCTGGGTGTACGTACCTCGAGGGCATGATGAGCCTTCCTCCTCTTCATCGACTTCTTCTTCCATGTCTACTATGGCAGCATATCGGCCACCGAAAACCCCGACAGCACGCTCTTCTTTGGGAACTCCGGCGGTGACCTCTTTAGGTTCGGGACCTCCAAGAGCCAATCGTCCAGGCTTTCCTTCTGGACCAAACCCTCGCAGAGAGAATGCCGAATCTGAAGTGCCGATCGAGGACCAGAGCGTGGACCCTGAGACTTTGCAACCTCATCCTCGACCTTCCCGACGGCAGCGGCGAGCAGCGGCAGCGGGGCGCGGCGATGGACAAGGGCAACTTTCACGCGCTGAACCTGGTGCTGATGTACGTGTTCCTCCTGCAGGCCTTGCGCTACCCGATCCTCCGGTTGCTGGTGGTGATCCCGTGTGGCGCGACCAGCTGCTGCGAGACTTGGGCGACTTGAGGGTCAGACAGGGCGCCAAGTCTGAATGGAATTCCAGGAAAGGCCCTGCTCAAGGAGTACGTTGGCGTGGAGGTACGCCACTTGCGCCTCCTGCCTGGAGTTACCATCGAGACGATCTTCGCGCCTACAACCGCTGGGAAAGGAAAGTTCGCGTGTGGGAGTTGCAGGTGTCAGCTTACCCGCCTCCCAACGGCGGCCATGGCTTTGTATGTTTTCCTGAAAGGCGAAGCTGAGGAGGAATTGGAGCATTGCGAGCTGGCCCGCATCAACTGCAACGAAGGCGTGAACAACATACTCGATACACTGCGCGGACCTCTTCGCGGCCGGGCGGTGTACCAGAATTAAATGGAAGTACCTTTTCGACTACGAGCGCGTGGCCAGGTACAACGCGAAAAGCATCCGGGCATTCTGTAACCGCTATCATCGCATTGAAAGGTCCTTGATTGCACGCAATGTTGATGTAGAGGCGATGTATGATAGCGAGGCACGCGGCGCCAGACTCCTCGATCGACTTTGCTTGTCCTCCGAGCAGCAGAGCTTGGTGTTGGTAGGCCCAGGCCAGTCTTTGCACTCTGATGCCGTGAAAGAAGCTGTCCAGCTGCAGTTCCCTGATCATCGCCCTGTACCTCCTGTAACCTACACCCGTGAGTTCGACAGGGGCAAAACCCGCGGACAGGAGCACCGGCAGTCAGGACACCAAGACGGCGGCAAGCAGGACGGCAACAAGGGCAAGGGCAAAGGCAAGCTGCGCCAGACGGACCACCTTGGCCGCGAATCCGACATCGCGGTGTAGAGGTTGTAGACCAGCCGCCTCCCTCAGGAAGGTGAGGGTCGGGCATAGAATGAACAAAAGGCAAACGCAACAACCCACATGCACGAACACACGTGGCATGTGACACAGGCACGCGTGCTGAGTTCCTGTCGTCCCCTTGCGCCTGCTCCAGCCATCGCCTGCTCAGCTTTGACCCGGTTTGGGGCGTAGAACGTGTAGACCTGCTCCTCCGTCAGGTAATTTGTCTTGTTCTTCTCTTGCCTGAAAAATGTGACACATGAGCACACAAAGATATTTCAAACAGACATGAAACTCAATGTGGGACATGTCAGCGTACATAAAAATTGTTTGCTCAGGCCCCAACATCGCCATGACTGTGAGCTGGGTCACGTCAGGGTTGTTAATCCACGACTGCGCGAGCTGCTGCCTCACGAGGCCTCCGGCCCTCCATATCTGGAGGATCTCCCAGGTGCAGCGGTGCCCATTGTTGCGCAGTCTTCGGACCTGTTGTAGCGCCGCTGCGGCGCTGATTTTCGGCGCTCCAGCCTCCAGGCCCGGTGCCGCAGCCTTGGATGAACATTTTGTTCAGCTGCAGAGCCGCCAAGAACAATTCCTTGTTACAGCGTTCAATGCGCAACTGACTCATGCATCATGCGGAGAAATCAGACACGGGCAGGAATGCATTGAGTAGCAGCGAAAAGCATGTAGCGTATGCTTTTCTTCATGTCAGTTCTCACTTGTGTCAACTGCGTGCAGCAGAACTCATCCGACGAATTTATGATATATGCCAGCAGCAGGATACTCATCACTTGTTAATTGAGGGGAGTGGCGCAATTGTGCAACACCTGCTAATATCGCATAATGCATTTCGCAGTTTTTTCTTGCGCAAAGGCTGTTGGTCAATTGTCTTTGCGTGGGACAGCTCAGCTTGCGCAATCACCGCCATGAGAGATATATCATCTGCTTGCAACAAATGCAGGTATAGCTTCCTGGCCTCTAAACACCGAACTCAGCAAACAGGCACACTCAGAGTTTATATTACCATGCAGTTATTTCAGATATTTCTGCTTATGTTGAGGCCTGTGTGAAACTGCTGCAAAACACATACAGACATATACATATATGTATATATATATATGCAAACTTAAATACTGAGCAGGAAATTGTGGCGGTTGCAGCCTCCAGCGGGGTACTCGTCACTTGCTGCCCTGCTGGGCGGTGTCGGCAGGGTCGGTGCCTCGCTGGGCGGCGGCAGGGTTGTCGGGTTGCTTCGCAGAAGAAGATTTCTCGGGGCTAGGCGCACGCTTGACTGCCGGTGGCATCTTCAGCAACTTCACCGTCGATGTCCTGAGAGTATTGTCGCCGTACGTGAAATCACACACAAGCAAAGAAGCAAACACCGTGCTAGCAGACAGGGCATTATACGCATCCTGGCCAGCTTCTTCCTGCTCCACCACCTCCATCCAGGGCTTTGGCCAATCCGTCCTCCTCCGAGTCCTTGCGTATTCGGGCAGCATTAAGGGCTTAGGGGCAGGATCTCCCACATCACAAAGAGCAGACAGGACATATATTTATACATCGGGAACATGCTGAAAACAATGACATGCCACTGATCACAGGCACGCAAGCCCAGATTTGGGAAAAGTACACACCCCACACATGTGAATCTTTTTTGCTAGACAGATTCTGTGATTTTAATCGCACATCTTCTTAATCTCTAAGATAAACCCACGACACTAGATACACGGATTGATAAATCTGCTAGACAGATTAAGCTGATATACCCCCAGCGTCTGTGAGTTGGGGCCTGGGACGCGGAGGCTCTGTCACTTGCGCAGGAGGTGCAGGATCAGGTGATTCCTCACTCAGATCAACATACCCACAGCCGGTAAGGAAATTGACCTTTCAGGTCGACGCAACTGATTCCAACTCCATCTTGGCTGCGTGAAAAGCTGCCTGAGCATAAGGAATTGGGTTCGTTCTGGCACACCCACGCACACAGCTTCTGTACATTTGCGCGCGAAATAGGAGGGTGTTGTTTGACCTGGAGCGCAGCACACACACACCAGGTTCCAGGCAGTTGTCTCGAAAAAAAATGAATTGGCAAGGCGCAAAATCCAAAAATTTAGGCAGTGGCGCCTGAGAATCGTAGGCCATGAGTCCCCAGACCCCTGATGGGATCTAAAAAATGGAACCGCCAGCATTTTGCAAAAATAGAACCGCCACACCTCAAAATAGAACCCCCCCCAAAAAAATAGAAC